TTCGATCAGCCAACTGAAAGCAGCTTATTGAGGGCGGCTTTTCGGGCCGCATAGGGGGTAGGTAAAATTCTGTGAGGTAAATTTTTTTGACTGACGTCAGGTTATTTAACGGGAAAAAGAGGAACGGAGAATTTAGAAGCAACTACTTGTGGAGAATATCAGGACACTTTCGGAATGTCGCAAACGCAGAAAAACTGGCTCATAAGAAGGACGAAGAAAGTAAAGTCAATAAAATAGTAACAGCCTGGATAATCAATACGTTATAGTTGCCGTGAATGTTGCAACTTTACCCACTTGCCGAAATCATATAAGGGATTTACGCAATCCAAACTACTGCAACGAAATCGATTATTTAGCTACGAATGAGGAATATCACCCTGCATACATTTCTCTCATAGTTGGGAAGGATGTTCGTCGAATTTTTTGGGGAAAAACAGGACAAATCAGGAAATGTCACGAACCTCGTTGTGCCATAATTTTGTGACTGTTTGCGGAGAGTAGCCCATATTAATCATCTTGGTCAATACAGTGGGAGGATACGAATTGAAACAAAAACTCTAGCTGTTATGATGTTTTCCTGTCTTCTCTTGAAATGGTTGGTGGTAACAGGCTAGGCTCCTTGAATCTGCTTTATACAGCAAACTTACTTCATTATATGCCATCCTCCAGTGGCACTTCTTTTACTGATAAATTCCCACAAACCTCTTCAAAGTCGTGTTTCAACTCTAGTAGAGTTGGATTCCCATTTTATCACAATTACTACCTCAGCAACAGTGGTTCACTTTTCCGCTTCTGAAATTCGAAAATGAATGTGAACCTCTGGCAGGGTTTGCATTTTGTGAATCTGCAGGTTTTTAGGAAAGTACCATCATACCAGGGTGCAAAATAGCAATCAGCTGGAGTTCTTACTAAGATTTGCCACCCGGTGTCAATCAGGGTACCAACCGGCCAAGGTATCCAACTGTTTTGTCTTTGAAGTCTGGGATGTAACTGCAACTTCAATGCATATTAATTTTGTCAGGGAAACCGCATAACGTGGAAACTTGTTTACGAGGTATCGTTTGTTCTCAGAAGTTAATACTTCAGTTCAGAAATATTCACAACAGTTGTACACGGTTCAGCCTTAAGCGAGTCACTCAAATGTTCTGAGGCGGACCAAAGGCGGGAGTATATGACTCTTCTCTTCTTTACTTCCAGTTTCACTTAGAACCATTGTACGGAAAAAAATAATTGGAAACAGAACAAACTATACGCCGTGAATAGAAGCAGACAAAGTATGTGACTGGAGCACAATAAACTGTCATATTTTCAGAGTTAGCGTGTAAAGTCAAAAACCCAGAAAGAGGACTCTGTGGAGGGCACTCAGTATTTGCACAATGGAATAGAAATTTTGAGAGCTATGGCGTGTCCCCGATGGACTAATGGACTCCGGCAATTGAGTTCAGAGTACCAGTCCAAACTCTTGAGCCCTGTTTAGGCATCTCGGGATCTAATCGGTGTTGGGAAATTATTCCACCAGACGTTTCCACCAGAGCTATGATTGCTCCAGTGGACGATGAAATTTGGTGAGCTGTAAGAATGTGAGGATAGTTTAGAATTGCTTTTGGTTTGAGCACATGCACGACAAAATGCAACATTTTGGCGCAAAACGTTTTACTCTAGTCTCAAAGGTTTTACAGCCAAAAGCATTGTGCGGCTAATGGGCGTCCCATGGGATGAATTAGAATCGCGATACTCATGGCATAAAAGTACAATTCAATGACATTTGCGGAGCATAAAAACAAAGCTGCATGACAACCAGCTTGAAATATCCAGCCTTGTAGAATAGAGAATGGCGTGCGTGGGGCTACATGAGAGACATATTCTATGCGCTGAGCACTTACCAATGGATGTAAGATTACTTCTAAAGACCAAGGTTAAAGTAGGTCATAGTATGGTAGTGCCGGTTCGTCAGCTGCAAAGTGGATTGCGTGTACTAATTTGCCTTCTATCCATTCAAGTGTGTAGGATCGGCCACTGAAGAGTTTGCAACAGGTTAAAACAGGATTTCCGAAAAGCGGGGTTTGCCCTTCACTGACGAGTAACAGTTACCCTTAATTAGTCGGTTCCATCGTATGTTTGTCCAGCATCTTGTACTAATGAGGAAATAAAATCTGGGTACTTGTGGACAACGGGGTAAACCCGACAAAAAACAACGTACCAGTTCTATGGATGTGTGTACTTAAGATGAATACTTTGTTATTTTCCTAATTTTTCACGAACAACCAGGCAAAGTTTGCCGCTTTTTTGCATACTGCCGATTATATGAGAGGATATACTTTGCCAGAACCACGTTACATCCATGGTAAGAAGTGAGATCGAATTTGTGTGTCAATGGTTGAACCTGAATACTGAGAATGGACCCTGGTATCAAACGAAGTTCCAACTGATGATGATAAGTTTTTCTGATGACGCTCTGATAGTTAGAATTCATTGTAAAACAGCGATAAGCTGTGCTCCCGTGAATTTGTGCTCAAGTAAACCAGTAAACAGTTGTTATTTATTATTCGATTACATTAGTGATACAGATGTATCCTTCTTTCGGTGCCTAGCTGCCATGTCACCAGAAGGATGCACTAGGGCCGAGAGATACTGCCAGGTCACCTAAGCTTCGACAAAACCAGTGAAGATGCAGAGGTCGGCCTGAACCACGGAGTGTCATGTTAGTAAGCTCGTGTCTTAATCATTTAGCTATCTCGTGCTCAATAAACTCAGTAGTCTATAAGCATATCTGACGTTCCGCAATGAAAAATCTATCTATATTTATCTTTATTTATTCATTAAATTACCATAACAAATGCACTTTAAGCAGTCTACTTCAGTGAAGACCCACTGTCCAAAACAGTACGAAATATTATCCCTAAACGCGTTTAGATACATCAACTCAAGGCATCGGTTGGCTAAGATTCGTCTTTGGAAGGTAAGGACCAATATGGTTTTCACTGCGGCCAGACCGCCCACTATTCTTAAAACATGTCCATTCTTATGTGCTGGAAATCGCCTAATTATCACTATAGGATATAGCGCAATTCATCATGAACAACTTTTGGCACATTACCGCATGAAACACACAGAGAATACAAGGCTTAGTTATTTTTCGACAAAATGGATGAGGATTGCAATTCAGTTGGGGGAGTTAGAGTTTGTTTGACTCAAGTATCTGTATTATTCGCTACAAGAGATTGCCCTTGGGGTGCGAAGACTCGGAAGGAAATCAACTGATCAGACTAAGATCTCTTTTTCAGTCTATTCAGACATCTCGGTTATATCTGTAAAAAAATCAAAACAGCAAACAACGCGCAGAAGGGTTTGAAGCAGTGACACGCCAACCTATAAACGCCATCATCATCTGCTGATGGGATTTTATTGTAAATTCTTCTTGCAGGTGAATCCAATCCATGCGGGAAAATCGAGGATCACTTTACAGCTGGTTCATCCCCATTCAAAAACATCAGCAGTGTGTATCTGACGAAAATCCATGAAGTGTCGAACTCACAACTTTCCGGCTAGTGGTCTGAACAGTTGACCATTTACTCACAAGCAGCAGCTGATCGTGGCCAAACCGTTAACTGTTCAAACTACCAGCGGAGTGTTCACGAGGTCGAGACTCACTGGAGTATTTTAAAATGCTTACTGCTGACGATTGCCAATAAGAAGGAGACAACTCTGCAGTGCCTGGCTTTTCAGGATAGACTGATTCCACTCACAAAATGAAATCTCCGTGATGAACATCATTCCATCGCGATGTATTCAACTTATGAGAAATAGAGTCATTGTCAGGGACAACCAGTCAGATACCAATATCTCCCATTTAGTTGAAAGAGACAAAAGAGTTGACAACCATGTAGTTTTGATCTCTTTTTCACAAGACATGCAATTATAGAGGTGAAGCACTCGAAATGAACTGCAGCTAGAAAGCCTTGGACGTTGAGTTATTGAGTCCAGGTCACGGAAAAGCATCTTGAGGTCCAGACGGCGGGAAAAATGGTGGGTTGCGTATGTGAGCTTGAAGTTGTAGGTGAACTTGCGGACCAGTTCGACCACAAAAGCCGAATTGTTCAAAGTATTTGCTTTCGGTAGTGCAGAAGAGGATCACGCAACCTAATAGCAATCAGTTTGATCAAGACGATTATTCGAGGTTGAATCGATCGGCGTTGTTTTCATTACGTTCCTTACAGAACCCGGAAAGACCTAATTGGGTTTATCTTATTGTGTGCCGACCAAGTTTTGGTCGACTAGAGTGGCTGTCGGTGTTATATAACTGCTAATAAGGTTGGAAGATATATGTTTCCTCATTCTCCGATCGACTTATCGTGTCATCGTGCTCGGCAGCATGACTCCATGAGGTATAAACTGGTGTGTTTTGAACACGGACGGACACTCAATCTTCCACTTTCACTCACAACAGAGGTTAGTTATGAAACCACTTTTGAGACTTAGCATAGAGTCTAAGGCTGAGGAGGTGCATCTTGGATCACCGAGGCACACAGACTACTATCATTTGCGCCATCTAAGCAATTGAAGATGGGTTTGCAGGTTTATCCCACGCTGACGAATAGCATTGTTCCATAATTTGTTGACTGTAGTTCACATGTTACTAATTTAGGCATTTCAGCGTTCCACCTCTTAAAATTGTATTATCTAAGGTGAAATCGTCGAAAGAGTTTGCTTGGTAACCATTTTGTCTTATGTGGCCAACAGTAAATTTCAGAATCGTTGCCGTCAAGTCCGAACACTCAAGTGCTGTTACAAACCAATTTGTCAGGAACGTTCAAAAGATCACGATGATTCTAGCTACCTGTGTTGGTTCGTTGCACTAAATTTTTGCATTTTACGGGCTCTTAACTCCATGAGGCCACTAGCCCCAATTTTCATGAAATGAGTGTGCTTTGGACCGTCTACATTTAACAACCGGCCTCTTTGGTTCAATCAAACGTAAACATATTGTTCCAGAAACTTACCATTCAGAATTGTATGAGTTGCTAGCTTCACTTTTGAGAAGTTTCCACGACCTATATCCAGTATGAGACGATAAAAGCCAATGCGTTTTCCCGCTCTCACCTCAGACTTATATGGAGAGCACCGTTCGAAGTCTTTTTTGAGTTGCTCGAATGGCGTTATTCCATCTCTTGGTCGTTCCAATTGCAAGTTGTTATATTTTGTTGAGCTTGTATAGGAGATTTGTTCTGTTTGGAGATCTGAGGCCTAAAGTAGAAAAAAGGTGAATTGAAACAGAGAAATGTTAGTCCACTGTGAACCACTGCATGTACATTTTGGTGGCTGATGCCCTAATCATCTTTGTACCATCAATACCACACTCCCTGTTTCTTTCGGTTTGCCCACAGAGATCTTTACCAACATTGCCAATGTTTCTTTTGCCACATAAACTCGGGATTACAAAGATTCTCACAAACGACAAACTGCGCCTTGTGTAGCTTTTGTCATACACCTTCGGGGAGTATGGACTGGACAATTTTCAGTCGTCTGCTGATCGCACACATGATAGATATAGGGTTTGAAGTATTGATTATTCCTGCACTTATTGCTTACGGCCTATACTCCACGGCCTATGTAACGGAAATCTAAAGTGTCCAAATTAGCTCGGTACAGGATGGAATAGCTTTCTGAAAAACGCAATTAACGGTTGGACATCAGCCAAAGCCTATGATTTGGTTGCAAAACTTGTTCATAAGCCGCGAGTTAGCTGCACTAAAAAGTACTTGAATTACGTTGTTTGTGGTTTAGTTAATCGGCATGATACTAACGTGAGAGCTCTGTTTGATCTTCTCAAGTCCCTTACCTTGAAGGCGCGGATCGAAAAATTGAGCCACATGAAGATGCTGCTCGACAATGTAATTCTTGTTTTGCAGATCTTCAGTAATCTTGATCGCCGGTATGGAGACCGCACAGGCCAGGCACCATAAGATACCACGTCGTCACGTGGTCACACTCACTGTAGTTATAACTCCTTGTTCCACAGCTGTTACTTGTGAAATTCGCTATCTTCAGGGCTGAATTCAGTGCCAACAACGAGGGCATTACTATACGTTCTGAACCTTTACCGCCGAATCTTCTAACCCGTATACATCACCAGACATTAACCTTTCAAACGCTACGGGACGATCAAAGCTCAAGCTTAAAAACTTTTGCAATCACCAAATGGACCCTGGTTATAGGCAACTGCCCTTATTTAAGGCATGATCCCCAAGTCCGCGCAAATGTCAGTCAGAAGTATTATACAGAAATCCATGCCTCGTGTAACAAGAAGCAAAGTACTTTTATCGCGGTGCACCCTATACGGTCTTTATGCTACATCAATCTTCATGAAATATTTTTGCAGCCTAAACATAGAACCGTGACCCTGGGATAGGTAAATCTGAATAAAATATGCAAAAGTACACTTGGTTAATTTTGGTCATGGTAGTCAGAAAGTTTACGTGCTAGTTTCACTGCGTACATAATGCGCCTTAATCATACTGAAACCTGCAATCTTCGCTATCAACTTAGGTTACTCATGCGTCAGAATTTGTTACCTTAGATAATATTACAAACAATTACATCACAGTGAAGTTTTGAAAGCGTCCAGGGAAATAGATCGAGTAGTACACTCCATAGACATACTACTGATGCCCCTTGTAACAAATTGTTTGAATATATTTTGCTTTTAGGTAGTGTGGAGTTGTATAATTTTATTAGAGAATCCGTCGCTAAAACGAACTCAGTTTGTGCAGAAAAGTCGACAAGTATCGTGTATCTACTACAGCCTTGTTGGGAATCATCAGCACCGCGCATACCACGAAACTCCGGACAGTTTCGAAACCATGAACCAAGCTAATTTAAACGTTCAGCCACAATCGGCTGAGCAGCATTGTGCACTTAGGATATAGCAGCGCGAATTCTTCGGTCACAAGATCCCCATCACCCAGTCACACAACTTGGCTGGCTAATCGGTCGCTTGTGGCTTAACGGATGAGTGTTCGAACTACCAGCCTGGAAGTTGCGGGTTCAGGAGTCCTTAGAGTTCCGTCACATACACCCTGCTGAGGATTCACGATCAAGATAAAGCAGCTGTGTAGCGCTTCTCAGCTTTGTTCTACTCACAAGATGGAATCAATATTGAGAGAGTTGGGTTCCTGTTTATCTTGTGGACAGATCTTCAAATTCGTCTCCACTGGGGCAACCATGTAGATAAGCAGAAGACCCGTGAGAAATGGGCTACAGAGGCACTTGCAACGTGGCTGAATAAACCTAACTTTTTCAATCTCCATGAACAGAAATATTATGTGTAAGCCCAAATGTTCGTCCTAGCTAGCAAGTCTATCATATGCGGTACTTTTGGAAGGATCGCTTCCGAGAATGGCTTATTGACGTTGTGCTCAATAAGTATCCTGCTGGCAGCTCACCATCAGCAGCCGCAGTCATTCAGCGTAAGTAATCGCCTGCTATGGTGATTAAGTCGGCCACGCCACTCTCCACTGAGTTGATGTCACTCTCCTAAATATGGACATATTTCACCTGCAATAATACCCATACAAATATTAAACAGTACCTCCAACGGAGAACATAAGTGCCTGCTCACGAAGTGCTCTCAATGGTTTCGCTTGGCTCCGACTCTGTAGCAAGACTGAGCTCAGCCAATGGCAAGTTGTTTGGTGTTGACTAGCTAAACACAGATTAAACAGAACTCCAGACAGGTTTTGTTTTGGAAACCGAACTACCTCCATATTGGTCTTTAAGCACGTGCCATCAGACCAGACGACAATTAGGTACGTAAGGAATGACTAACAAGTAAGTTGCGACATATTGTAGATAGTTTATGCACGAACTGTTGGTTTTTCAGAAAATGAGTGGTGCGCAACTCTTGGGTGAGCTCTGAATGAAAATACACGCAGCGCACATCCTCCGTCACCCTCCCACTCATTCCAACAGACAAACAAACAGGCGGCGAGCACGAAATGTTATTTAAAACGTTTTTTGTGATGGAGGATTATTTGGCTTTTCTTGACAGGCCAAGAGGTTGCAAGAAATTGCAAAGGTCGGGGACGAAATTAAACATTAAGTCCATTACATTAACTGTCCGTATTCTATCGAGAAACGCCGCATATTTGTGGCCCATCCTGCGAAAGCCTTTGAATTATTCTGTTCTAGGACGGTCCAAGTCTCTCAGCCATACAAAAACAGACCGATCCGTAAACGTCTTTTGAGATTCATGAACATGCTTCTTTGAGACCATAGTTGTCTCAAACTAGCAAACTCGACCCGAGCCTTGTAGATTCGTTCATCATTCTCATCTGTCACACTACAATCAGAACTAATACCACTTCTAATTTATCAAAACTCTCACACAACGTTGAGTGCCTATCCCTGGATTTTAAGGAGCATATTGAGTGATGGTATGTCCAGGAGCATGGTCCTAACCTTTGTGGGTGCAAAAATGCAAACCAAATTACGAGATGACCTTAGTCGTTTAATCGAACAACACCTGAGCCTTTTCTTCTCCGAAGACGAGAACGATGTCGCCTACATTTTCCAGATCGACATGGTTTTCATCAGAGGCTATTCGAAAATTAGGGTTTTGAAAACCAGCCATAGTTCCTCTTTTTATCTCATCCATCGCGAAATTCAATGGGAACAATGTGGACAGCCTTGACGGACCCCGCCTTGTGTATGGAGGCTTTTGGAGTACTCTCCGTATGCTCCGTACGCTCACACACATTACACATAAATTAGGTTTAAAAATTTCCAGAACATTCTTTGATGGGCATGCGTGTCAGGGAGAAGAGACCGGTCAGCCAAGTCGAATGCGCCTTGGAAATTCAGAAATATCACCTAGTATGTAAGCATGTTTGGTTCCTGACAACGCTATAATTTGCTCTGTCTGTTCACACTACATGTAAGGTCAAACAAGAACATGTTTAATTCACGAGTTGGTCTTTTTAATAGTCCATATTTTTTCTCCAAACCCGTCAAGATCTTAATCCTTTTCCTGAGTAAGCTGTTACTGTTTGGTGGCCTACTTCATTGTGGTTCCACCGGAATCCGTCTGACAATAACGACATTGCTATCGCTGTCAGTATCACCATCCTCACCATCGTCGTCATCACCACCATAATCACCACCGTCATCGTCAGTATCGCAATCAGTAAACCACTCTAATTTGCTTCCTAACAAAAAAACATTTGGTACGCAAATCCTGATAGCTCTTTTCATCAAGATCAATGTGTTGCACTGAATTATGGCATCGTCTTTTTCAAAAGCTTGGAATGGCCTGTCACAGTCATTTGCAAATCGTGTTCTACTGTGGGCTCCACCTACTTCCTAGAACCTACAAAGAATCCCGTTATTTAGGAGATATGTATGTTCTAGAGCTTGAATCCAGTTTCTACTGACATTTTTTAACACTGAATGATGTACTTCTTGACTGCTGTTTGGCAACCCGGGATATTGTAGTCTATACTAAGCGCGCCTTCTAACGTACGAATTTCTGTGAGCATAAGTGCTGTATTTTTCAGATATTTCCGTTGAACATCAAGCTAGTTAAGAAGGTAGACAAACGT